CTGAAGTTTCTTGTTTGTTTGTTTGATTTTTGGTTGGTTTCCACTCCCATTAACTTTTTATTCCATACTGTCCCACTCCCGTGAGTGACATTAAAGTTGACAATCGTGTGTTGTGTACAATCTTATGTTGAAAACCCGCAAAAGAAAGAGTCCGTGACTGTCGAACTGCGAAGTATCAAGGGACTACTGTGAACTGTTCCAGTTCATGCAGTCCTAAAGAAGTTCAACCTGTATCAGAAGCTTGACTTTGTTTGGAGAATACAAACATACCAGATAAAGACAAATACTGTGGGATTCCTGGGTTTTTTGTCTGTCACTCACTCTTCCTTCCACAGCCAATTAACCTCAACTCACTCCACCTGCTGCTGCTCTGAGGAGGACTGCCTGATGGGGTATTTAAGCACATGCCAGACACCTCTTCAGTGCTGGGACATCTTCTACCAAATGGACCTTCCACAGCCTGCCTCTTCAGATCCTCCCTAGGATCTCATCGCTCCACTGGATTCCACCTGTGGATCAACGGTGTCCCTTCAAGCATTCTCAACTGGGTCAACCTGTTCCTCTCTCCACCGCAAAATACCTCAGGACTGGATCTCCTACAAAAACCCAGGACTTCTCCTCTTCTCGGACTCCACCTACAACACAAACAGTAAGGAGTCATTTCTCTATATTCAAGAATTAAAACATTCAAAGAGACCACCAGAACCCATACTCCCCTATCCCTCTTCTCCCTTACAGCTGCGACGACACGATCACCTGTAAATAAAAGTTCACTTACCTTTTGTAGTTCTGGCTCTGTTTTTATTGAATCAGTCTGCTCACGTGGAGGTCGACGTTGATAAAAACCTGATAAATACATGATAGAGTTAGACTACAACAATTTTTTTTAAATCTGAATTTCTTCAAAATCCTCAAAAAAAGAAAAGTTTACCTTTTCTAGCAAACAAGCTCTCATCAACAGTGCATTGGCAGCCATTTGAAAAGTGGTGCTTTAACTGATAATCCTGTGATTAGTGTTCAAACTGTGTTGTATATATAAACCATGACGCTCTTTCATTTCTGGCATCCTGTCACCTAATGAAGACAGGCCTATATGATGCTTGGGTTCGTGGAAGCGTGACATCATTCTTAGGAAACCGTGGATGAATCAGGCTTTACTTTGACTTTATGCTTGCTTTAGAATGTTTTTTTTTCTGCAAACAGCATTTTTGTGCCAAAGTTAAAAGTCATTCATCCCTGAGATATCAGTCAGAAACTCGATGAGCGTGGCTCAAGATGATCCTGGCGTCAAGTGCCTGCATGAAAGCAATGAGTGTATTTGATTCTGGATGTAAATTATGTGCTGCTGCAAATGCATGCTCCTGTGCAGTTGAATATTACACAGACGTTTGCAAACAAATTGTTTTGAGTCAGGCAGATTTGAATGATGTGGCCTTGTTGAGCATGCATCAGAACAATTGTGTGGCTATGAGCACAGGCTCTCAAGGCTTTACTGGCATTTAAGGGAATTTAGAGAGCTGTAAATTGTAGACCACATATTAGCACAAGACTGCAACTGAATTAGAGCACACTAAAAGACACACACATTCATGTTGAGGCATTGTTTTAATGATTTGTAGCTGACTGTGCTGCATGAAAGCTTTACACAACCACAAACAATTCATTTTACGCTTAGAGGAAAGATTGTAATCTCGGTTTTATTATTTCTTTAAATAATCATGCACAATAAACTTGTCTTTACTAAAAAAAACTATTGCATCTCATTGACATATGTCATAGATAAATTCAGCTTTGACAAATTGCCTACTGCATTGAAAACTATTGAAACTTACATATTTAAATCAATTGTAATAAAGTTTAAGCCTGCAACACGTTCATACTGATCCACACAAGTCATATGCAGCAGCCCCAGCATCAAAATGCCTGAAATATGAGAGAATCGGTGCACTCTCGACCTACTGACCACACTCTCAAGCACAGCGCTCACCCCTCCTCATCATTTCTCACCCTTAACCAATCTCAGAGTTGGGTGCAGGCCATAGTTCGCTGTCTGGGGGTTTCCCCTTTCATAGAGTTGATAACTAGGACCAAGGCAGTTTTAACAGTGACGCAAGCGTGCACACACAAATGAACAAACACACATGCACAGACACTAGAAGATGTCATGCAAAAAGGCTGAAAAGAACAATGCTGCCCTTAAAGGAGCTTCAGTTGAAAGCAACCTTGACGGTCAAAACTCCTTGACGATGGATACTTCTCATATTTTCACCTGTTTTTTTTGTTTTTTTTTGGCTCAGGGTAATTTAGAACTAATAAAAGTTTCTCACAAACATCACAACAGAATATACTTTTTAAAAATGAACTAAAATGGTTTTGAAGCGCAATTACATCGTTACACAATCCCCCCCCCCTCCCCCTTGTCTGTCGTAGAGCATGGCTGGTATGTTCTCAGCGCCAGGGGCTTTGACAACATTACAGTTCAGGTTAGAGAGAAGTCATGTAAGAAAGAAACACACAAAACCAGAATAACTGTGCAAAAGCAAGACCAACAGTCACAATAAAGACGTATAAACAAGAAAGGCTGGGGTCTGTCAGAAAGGGACTGTTTTGATACCAGAGACTGAACACTGCTGAATGCAGGGTGTGGTGGGTGGTAATCACAGTGAGGGGACACCACGGTTGTAGCGTTTGACTTATTTGGTTGTTTTATTTCCCCTCTTTCTCTGCATTTTCTTTTGACAAGTAACATAGCAGAATTCCTGGCTGCAACAGACCATCAAACGTCTTTTCTTGTATGTGCACGAATTTCTGTGTTCCGGTATTTGAAGCATGAGGATATTTTGTAAAATCATCTTTTAAATCTGACAGTGTTGTTGTTGTCTGAAAAGTATTATTAATGATTTTCCCCAAATTATATATATTTATAACCATGTTAGTGGTTATTTAGACATATTTAGACACACTGCAAAGCAAAGTTTTAAATATTAGTTGGAAGTTTTCCTCACATAAATAAAATGGATCATTAAGAAAAAAAATCACAAAAAAAATCAGCTAAATTAAGGAGGTCATGAATGAGAGCATTAGGGGTTTGGATGACTTTGTCGTTACTAAAACCAGTTTGTATCTTGACTAATGGTATTATTGTCTGTCTATCAAGATTCAAGGATTCAAGGTTCTTTATTTGTCATTCACACCCCATGTGGTACATGTGGTGGAACGAAATTGTGTACACAGGATCCCAGTTACATCCAACAATAACGTAAAAGAAAAACAGTAATAAGATCTAAGATATGAACTAGGAAAAACTATCATTGGTTAATGTTGCATTCAGGTCATTTAAAGGGCTTCAAATTGAGTTTTAATTTTTATGTTTTAGATCAGAGACTGGGGGCTGCTGTAGCTTGGTGGTCAGTGTCGCAGTCTTGCAATCCTGAGGTTGTGGGTTCGAGCCCAGGTTGTCCAGGAAGAGCATCTGGTGCAAAACAATCACCAAATCCTTCATGCAAATTTGTTCATTGTTGCAACCCCTGAAGAAAGGAGCAGCCAAAAGAAACTTATTACTATTTTAGATTAGAGACTAACTATGAACAAATTATTTTTATATTGCTGTGACATGATGAAACAAAGTGATTTAACAAAAGTGAAATACATTAAGTAACAGATTGGACAAAAAGGTCCATAGCATTAATGTCTGTTGTTTGTGTTTTGTCTGACGTTCAAGTTCAAGTCAACTTTATTGTCATTCCCATCACATGTGGTCCATGAGGCGGAACAAAATTATGTACACAGGGTCCCAGTTACATCCAACAATAGCAATATATAAGTATAAAAAGAAACAGTATACAAGGATCTAAGATATACACTAAGATCTACGCTAAGCAAACACCAAACAGTACGTTAAAAGATCTAAGATATATGCTAAACACTAATAATGTAAGACAATACAGCATAACAACAGCAGCCCGAATATGAGTCTGTGGTGAGCAGATGGGTATAAATGAATACAGCAGCATGAGATCAGCAGCATCATGAGATCAGCAGCATGGCTAAGTCACATATCACCAGTTAAAGTGTCATTACAGTGATTTTTCTTTTTCTTTTTCTTTTTTCTAACAGTGACTATCCTGATTAGGGCTTCATGAGTCTAACAGCTTCAGGGTAGAAGCCCTTCCTCAGTCTAGTGGTTCTACACTTAATGCAACCTCTGCAACCTTCTGCCTGAAGTGGGCTTACCAGCATTATGTGCGAATAAAGAATTAACAGGCTGTAAAATTTCCCGCTGACTTGAACGTGTGCAAGTAGCAAACACAAAGCGAAACTGAGTGTAGTTAAACTCCCACCATGGAGGCTAATCTGTAAATTACAGGCTCTGCACAATGACCAGTCAGCTCTGCTTCTGCTCGTTCGTCCATTAGTGACACGCTGCCTTCACCAGCTTTGTTCATTGTTAGAAACTTCCCTAATGCTGGGTTCAAACTGTGCTGCTTTCTTCTTCTCTACAAAACATCTACATCACACTACTGTGAAGTTACAATATTGCACGCCTAGCGGACTCGATAGATTTGTCTTACCTAATTTACAAGGATTTTATTATTACTCCCAAGTAATTAAATTAGGCTATAAAATGAACAGGGTAACTGAAAAAAATTGTGTCCATTAGTCATGATGCCTGCGAGTTGTGATGAGTTGCACAGTAAGTTACAGATTTAGTTTTTAACTGCATCACAGCCAAACAGAAAGTATATTTTTCAGTTTTCACTCACACATGTAACTAAAAATAATATTAACTTTCCATGTGCTGCTGTTCACAAAGTTGAGATCATCAAAATATGACAAATGCATGGTATTTTTATTGCTCAACCCTGGCAGCAAGGTGTTTCATTTTTGTATTACAATGAAGAGGAAAAGGTAGGCACTAGGACCTTAACACAGGAAGAGGAGGGAAGAGCTTTGGGACTCCTCTTTAAACTTGCAGAACAATCCATTTCTCAGATAGTGTAGGAGGGAGACAGACTGAAGTGGATGGGCCAAGACCTGGATGCACAACTTTGAAAAGCAGGAGCAGGACTCTGAGTCTGGGATAATTTTACTCTGGGCCTTGAAAAGGGTGAGGTGGACTATAGACTTTTTAAAGTTTTACCTCACTGGGGAGAGAGGAGAAGGATCATTGCAGGGTGGTGAGTTTTACTCATTTGAAAGTGAAGTTAAAGTGTGTCTCAACAGAGGACAGAAAACTAGAGTTTATCATAAAATCTGGGCTTTTTTCTCTCTTACCCGTCATTAAGGTAACGTGGAGCCTGTGAATTTATTTTGAGCCCAGCAGCAGTAATCCTCTTTAGAGGGGGGAAAAACTGCATCTGGAGGTGCTATTAAAAAAATTAAATACGAGATCACACTGCTTAATGTTTGTCATGTCATGTGCTGGCACAGGTCTTCAGACAGATTAATTTTCCTGGTATATTCAGACGGGGAGGGTGCACAGAGCAGGTCAAAGCAAAATAGGGAAAGGTGAGAACAGAAGAGAAGGTTGGAAAAAAAATGGGGGTCTCCAAACTTCAATGGAAACTCGTTTACTGCTCAGTAAACTCCAGGGACATCAGGTTACCTTGTCTCCCCCCCCCCCCCCCCCCTCTTTTTCTGTCTTTCTCGCCACTCATGTTACACAACCCTCAAAAGACTTGTAGATTCTGATGAGCTCCAGTGTCAAACATGAAGTTAGTGAGTTTATCCTTGGGTGGGGCCAGGGTCTTGAATGGGTGACTTTTGTTGTTGTTTTTAAACTGATATTTTAAAATGTGCGTTTGTGCTCAAGAAGCTCATGTGCTAAATGGTTGCCACTCCTACAAGGGAATTCCTCTCGGCGTTTGGCGAGAAGAATGTCATTGCAAACGTTTACGCTCACAAACCAGCATTACACACCAAAACCTCTGAGTGACATTCAGATTCATCCATGTGCTGGATTAATCTGGTTTATTTTGGAAAAGCATGTCAAATGCAGGTATTTTGAACATATATAGTTTTTAAAAATCAATCAAACGACAACAATAAAAGCCTCAGAAGCTTTTCTCTTGTTCCTCACTCATATCGATACATTTGTTTTGCATTGACAGCTGCACATGTGTGTTGGATTAAGAAGAAGAAAAGAAAAAGATCAGAAGTTTGAGCTTGGGCCAGTGAGTAAAGCTGTTAAAAAAAAAAAAAAAAAAGTTTATTTGGATCTATTTAAACAACATTTTGAAAAATTGTTTGGCTGCTAGTGTATCCCAGATGGAAGCTGACTGGTTTTCATCACCTTTCTGTCGTTCATAAAGAAGTGGAAAGACAAAGCTCCACTAATTTGGCCCAAATACACAGAATATCTAACTTCTCAGTAGGTCCTGTACTTTGCTTTTTGTTAACACTGTAAAATAATGACAGAAAAATTACTTGTGTCCTCATTTTAGGAAAAAAAAAAAAAAGGGTCAGCACATTTATGAACCCTTCCTCAAAAATCTGCAGAGTTAGAATAAATCAACCGTTTCTTACCTTGATTTGTAATCAATGACTTTATCTGTTAACATTTTATCTTATCTTTGCTGTTGTGGGATGTTTGGGATGTTGCTTCAGAGAATGTTTACCTGCATTTGTCCATTTTCTCCATGACTTTAATATTCGTAACTTTGGACAACATGGAAATGATGCAATTTGTTTTACCCGTTAAACTGAGAAGTGCACCCAGCGGCCGTGCTATAAACTGCGTCAGTGATATGAACTAATGTCCCTGTATGTATGGAGGGCAGATGGACAGTGCTGTTTTCCCCCGCAGACAAAGATGTCTGTGATTATTCATGACCCTCTCAGGTTTCCCTTTGAAGTTGAGTTACAGCTTTCCCTATGTTAGTGCCAGCGTATTTGTGTGTGGAATTGTGCTTGTGTGTATTTGTGTGTGTGTACTGTATGTGAAACCCAAAGACAGAGAAGAGACTGACACGTTGGAGTGAGGAGTGCAAACTCTTGTTTAAATATAGAAGTATTGTTAAAGTGCTTCAGAGTTTATACAAACTTGAGATACCAATGAATAAAAACATACTGTTTTTCAGAACATACTGTAAAATCATTAAATTTACTCAAATAATGTTCTAGAATTGCACCGCTCGGGGTGGCTGCATGTTCGAGTAGCTCTGTTGCATTCATTCTGAAATATTTCTTTCGGAAACTTTAATTTCTGTTTTTCTGGATAAAAATCTTTTTTTTTTTGACGATTATTTCCTCTGGTATTGGATGCTGTGCATCTGGAAGGATTTTTACTGAAACCTTTTTTCTTTTGGACATCTGTTATGATGCGTAACCATACACCAACGTGGTTTTTACAACCAGGAGCAACTGTTTACGATCTCAAAAGCTCAAATAAAATCTCAGCTACAACCTCAAATCTCAAATGAGTTGAAAAGGAGGCTCCGTGGATGCATTCCTGTCTACCTGACAACTGTGCTTGAGTGCCTGACCACTCAGATCCTAAGATCTCCTAAGAAGATTCTGGAACTGGCAAGAAGCATGGCTTGTGACAGCAGAAGAACTGGGATCGTCCCCCGGCACCTGTAGCCAGCTGTTTGCGGCGGTGAGTAGCTCGGCAGGCTGCTGGAAGGAGTGGCCATCGCTCTGGGAAGAGTTCAGCCTGGCGTTCAGGTGGTCCTACAGCTCAGGGAACCAAGAGGCCAACTGAGTATGGGTGGATGCATCGAACAGCATCTGCTGCCAGTTTCTTTGGATCCACTGTGAAACAGACCTTTACAAGAGATCCTTCCTGTCTACAGCCATCAGTATCTATAACATCTCATAATGAAATTAGGATAATGAGTTACAAGAACATTTAATTTCCCTTTGGGATTAATAAAGTATTATTGAATTGAATTGAACTGAAAAAACATAGCTTTGTTTCATTACACTCTCTTTTTCTAATAACCTTTGTAATTTTGAAATAATGTTTTTGTCAGGTTTAAACTGAAACGTGTTGTTTATTTTATATTTTTTGTTTGTCTGTTTCAACCGGGTTATGGTTATGGTTCGAGTTAGGGTTAGGGTTCAACCGGGTGAATAAAACTCCATCTTTTGTTTAAAATGACCAAATATACTATTTATAAATGTTTACCACTTGTAAATAATCCTCAGATGTTTTTTAAAAAGAAGTTTAACACTTGTCAGGACATTTAGGATACAATTCACAGCAACACATCAAAACACATACTGAGAAAAACTTTCTTTCCTTTACTTGTAATCCTCCTAAAACAGCAGATTTTTTTTAAATTCAGTGTTTTTTAATGTTTCTTTGCAGTAATCGACCTTTTCGACAGGATTATCATGGCAGATGTCAGGATAAAAGTAACTAGATGCAGAAAAAAACTGTAAAAACTTCATAGTTGTTGTTTCTAGTGTGTTCACTAAATGAAATGGGTGATTTCTGCACATTTGTTTTGTACACTTAGAACACTGAAAACAAAGTTCGATAAATCCTAACTTTGGGGAAAAAAAAGAATTATCTGTTGTCTAGACAATTATCTGTTGTCTACACCAAAGTTGTTGTTTGCATGTGAGCAGAAACCAGTTCGTTTAACAAAATTAGTGTGAACTGGGCCTTAATAGGAATAGATATTGCTTTTATGTTGTGTTTTAGACGTGGATTTTTTTTTTAACTTCATGAATGACACAAAGAAAAAATAGAACATCCATCGTTTATCTTTACCTGCTTCTTCCTTTTCGGATCACAAGGTTCACTGGTGCCCATATCCAGCAGTCACCGTGGGAGAAGCGGGGGACACTCCAGTCCATCACAGGGACACACAGAGAAAAACAAGACAAACAACCATTCACTGTCTCTCTTTCACCTAGGGACAATTTAGAGTTACCATTCAGCCTAACATGCATGTTTTTGGTCTGTGGGAGGAAACTGGAGAAAACCCACCCATACAGAGAGAAAATGCAAACTCCACTCAGAAAGGCCCCCGGCCAGCATTCGTTCCAGTGACCTTCTAGCTGAGAACTGGCATCTTTACAAACTGAGCCACCGTGTTGCCCCAAAACAACAAAAAACAACATGCACAATACATTTCAGCAGGTGCAGATTTATATAACAGTCATACCCACTTTGGTCCATGTCTTTTTAAATGGTAAATTGAAAGTTTATCATCAGCATATTATAGGGTGTAAGAATACATTGATTTAAATTGATATATCAATTCAATGATTAATGATTCAATTATATTGTGGCAAAACTGAAACGTCGATTCATATCGTCATCTTTAAAATACGGTTTTATTTTGAAATTCCCAAGGCACATCTGTGTCACCATTTCCGTGCACGGCTGCGCTCTGTGGCCGCCTCAGCAACATAGCAGACGAGGTAGAAAACACATATAATGAAACTCACCCTCCTGCTGGAGGCAATCAGTGCATTTTAAGTTAACTGGTTTAAATAAATGCGCTTAAACATGAGAAGTGTGAAACTTTACTGACCAGGTCATTTATTTTTATTTTTTCATTGATTAAGAAAAATGTTTTTTTTATTTTTTATTTAAATGCCTGGTGCTTGTAATAACAGAAATAAAATGGTTAAATCATATTTGAATTGTTTTTGTAAATGTATTTATATGTAAATGAGATAGTCATTTGATATCGCAATATATCGATCGCAGACTTGTGAATCGAATAGAATCGAAATCGTATCGTGACAAACTTTGTGATTTTGAGAAAAATCATATCATCATACAAACAAATCAATATAATATTGTATCATGGTAAAGCTGGTGATTTACGCACCTATCATATTATCAGTGTATGTAACATTAGTACTGTAAAGAATTACAATAAATGTATACATATTTTAGCTATAAATCCTAGAATACTCAGCTGGACTCCGCCTTGAACATCTGCAGTCATTTTAGATGATGGAAGCTGAAATATTACAGTACAGTGAGTATGAGTGTTGTGATGACAGTGTGAGAAGAACTTGAATTGTTTACAAAAAATATCACCATCACACAATTCAATGTTACTATTGTAACTGCATGTTGGTCCTAATACTGTGCAACCAAAACCTAAATCTAAGGCACTTCACTTTTGTATTTTGGTCTTTTCTTTAGTTTTAACTTGATTAACAGTAATTTAATAAAATTTCAAGTCTTGTTAAAATGCACTTTTCAGAG